TTTTCTTTTTATTTAAATTAGGAAAATATAAATAAATTGTTTTCAACTATCAAAAAAAACATTATGTATTGCCTTCAACTGAATGAATATTAAGTAAAATTAAATTTAGAAATTTACGATATAATCTAAATTTGATATGCGGTTGAATTTCTTTAAATTAAATAAATTTTCCATTTAATCATATTTTATATTCTTCTTCTACAAAAACTCTTATTAAATTTAATTTATATCAAAAGTAATCACTTTAAAGTCTATTTCATTATTTTTGTTCTCATTAAAATTATAAAAATTTAGTATAATTATAATTCTAAATCACTATTTTCAGTAGAATTAAGAAATTTTATTTTAGAGCTTCTATTATTTTTGGTTTATAACATTCATAAATAATTATTAGAATTTATTAAATCTTTAAATTGCATGCTTAATTTAAATATTTAGCTTGTCAATACTGCTAAAGAAAATAAATCAATTATTTATTTAATTAATTCTATTAAGTCTAATAAAAATAGAGTCCTCTTTTTATCTTTGAAAACAAAGAAAAAACTTTTAATTTTACATGTCTATAATACTCTTAGGATAGATTGGATCAGGCAATACAACATTGTAGAATAAAATTACACAATCTAATGAAAAAACATTTACAGGCGGAGACTCAGTTACTATGAATATATTTAAAAAAAAATCCTGCTTCGGTTCAGGATTCTCAGTTTTAGATATTCCAAGCTATGATTCTTATTCTAAAAATGTAAATTATTATGTAAGTGTGCTTTCTGCATTATCTGAAGGACCACTTAATAGACTAATTATTGTGGTTAAATTTAATTAAACAAGAATAATAATTGAAGATGTAAAAAAAATTTTACGAACATTTTATAATTATTGCTCTCTTATAACAGTAATTATTACATTTTGGGATTTATGCGAAATAGGAGAAAAATAAGAAAATAAAAGAGATATTGAAAAAATGCTAGGATAATATAAAATTAATTCAGTGTTGTTTTTTGAGAAGAATGATTCTTCTGAAATCATTTGTTAGCAAATTGATCAAATAATTGCTAAATCAGAATCATAAAATATCATTTTACAAGAAGATCACTATCTTAAAAATATATATATGAATCAAGAGTATGATGGAGAGATATTTGAAATTGAAATGTTGAAAGATCATTATATAGCATATTACTATAATTTTTATAAATAAGCAATAAAACTAATATAAGATTAAACAGTTCCTCTAGGATTATAAGCAGATTATTTTTCTGCATTAGCTTAATTTGCACTAAAAACAGTAAAAGAAATCATAAAAAAATTTGAGGGGATACATTATCAATAATAGATTAATTAGAAGAGAAATAATAATTTATTGCCTTTAAAATTCATTTTGAAATGAAGAATACTTTATTTAAATATTATAGCGGGATTGTTGATAAGTTAAATCAAAAAATTTATTCTGGACATCATTTCTCAAATTATATAAAAAAATGTAATTATTGCAATTAAATTTGGCTCAAAACTAGTGGTTGTTCTTCCTACACAGTATGTGGATAAATAGATGACAATCATGAAGATCATTTGATAAAGTATGAAAGCCCTCCTCTAAAATTTGATTGTACATATCATAAAGAAAAGTTGGAAATTAAACCTAATGAGACAGTGAGAGCTTTAATAATAACATTAAATGAATAAAATAGATAGAATTTAAAGACAAATGAGCAAAATATGTAATAATTCTAATACATTTAACTTGGTTATAAATTTGCTAAAGTAGGTAGAATGGGATGTAAAAGTAAAATCGATTGGAGGCATATGATTCCATTAACAAAAGATGAATTAAATGAAGTTTTAGGTATTTTGGATGAAAGATTTTGTGATTACTTAGATGACCTCGAAAAAGTATACAATTAACGAACAGCAATTTATGAAAGCTAACTTAAAAATGAAATAGAAAAAAAAATTTAAGAATAAAAGACAAAGTTACAAAAATAATGATCAAAGATCTTTTTTTTATATAAAAATATAAATTATTTTAAACCTTTTGTTACATTGATATTAGATATCTTACTATTTAAATCATAAAGAAGAATAAAACATTAATTATAAAATTATACAATATCATAGTAAAATGATGTAATCTACTTAGAAAACAGCTCGTGACGTTTACCTTTCAATTATTATAATTGTTGATAGCCTTGCATATTCTTCAATTACTTTTGAAATTTATTGCAAAAATTGATATGATCTGATATTGTACTAAATCAAATTAAATACTTAACAGCTATTAAGTTTATAATCACACAATATTAATTAAAAAAAACTTTTGCTTCTATTGTTTATTTAATACTTAATAGTGTTAAGTATTGATTATAATCCCCACTA